CAACAAAACCAGCAGTGAGGAAAAATATATCTGAAAGCCTCTGCAGACTCCAGAAATGGACCAACAGCGGTTTATGGACAGAGGGAAGACGCAAAAGCATAGAAAACCCATGGCAAACAACAATCCCAAGCTGGCACAGCACAGCTGGGCTGGCTGCATCCCTCTCCACCAGCACAAACCTGCAGACAGCAGCCAGCTGCTGGCAGCAGTCTGGTGCTGCCACCTTTCTCCAACAGGGCTGGAAGAAGCCGCAGACCACTGGTGGGAGCAGCCCTGCCTGAAAAGAGCCCTCACCTTGTCTGAGAACAGGCTGAAGTGACCTAGGGAAGGGTTTCCTGGTGACAACTCCAAAAATAAGAATAAAAATAAAATGAATCAGTCCTCCTCTTTAAGCTATCGTACCTGATCACCACTTCAACATGGAAAAATGGCAGTATGCAGACCACTTCCCCTACATCTTCATTTACCAACTCTCTCCCCAGACCAGAAATTCCCAGAATTTCACTCCCACTACCTCCACAGCCTCATCTTCACTTCAAGGATTACATTTCCTTAGCCTGGATCAACGTGCTCCAGCCAAAGGGCTGAACATGGAGACAACTTTGCGGTCTCAGGCTTAACCAGGCGACCCCACTGTACTCTATACTTCCTAATATTTCTCCCTTGAGTTAATTACTGCGATTCAACTGAAGCCTCATCAGCAATGTGCCAAACACCATGACCCCGCAGCAGCGATGCTTCAAGCACCTCACCTGGAAATGCACAGAAACATGATGTGGGATGTGTGAGCCTCGAGCTCTCCAACACCAAAAAGCACTGCTAGGTCTCCAGTGCGACGAGAGCTCTCTCACATTGCTAGTTTTCCCCTTTGATTTCCTCAAAAAGATCATGAAATTGGTTTAGGGCTTGTTTTGCTGTTGTCTCACGTGTTTGATGTTGTGCTGAGCGCACGTCTTCAAGAAGCTACCTGAATCCACGTGATTAGCATTTTTTTCCTATGAATGCGAATATTATCCCTTAATGACAATTGTTCAGAAGCTGGGCTTTAGGAGAACACCAGGTAAGCTGACATGGACCAGAAAAGCCCAGCCCTGCGAGACGCAGACCCACAGCGAGGAACCATTGTACCACCACAGCTCCCTATGGAAGACAAGGCAAAAGAAGAGAAAACCCAAAATTCACGCAGTGCAAGCGCTCACTGACCCTCTCTGCTTTCAATAAACTATTAGGGGAATGTGTACAAAGAGAAAAAAAGCGGATTTGTACCCAAGAACACCAGGGGACACCTGCCCGGGTGGTGTCCAGAGGGGACCACGAGGTCTCCCCGTCCAGGCGGTGGCCGCACGTCCAACCCCCCGAGCTGCCACAGAGCCACCCCCCGGCTCCTGTCGCGACAGGGCTGCCCTCTCCCGACCCCTACCTTCCTGCGGGGGCCGCCCGGGGGCTGCGGGGGGCAGCAGCCGGGCTCGGCTCCCCGCCGCCGGCCGCTCCGCACGTAGGTGACCCGCCGCCGCCCGGGGGGCTGGGGGGGACCCCTTAGGGGAGCCCGGGGGGGTCCCAACCCCGCAGCCGGCCCCTGAGGCTTCTCCTCCGGGCACCAGGATCGCCTGACGCCCAGCTGGAGGCAGAGGAAGAGAGCAGCCGACAGCAGGCAGAGGCGGAAAGCCGAGCCCCGCCGCAGCGGCCGCTCCGTGGGCATCGCGGCCCCGCCGCAGGGCTCATGCCGCCGGCCCCATGGGGCAGCGCCGAGCCCCGCCCCGAGCGGGGCCGGCCGGGGAGGGGCCGCCATGGGCCCTCAGATCCCGGCCTTCAGCCTTCAATCCTCAACCCTCAGCCCTCAAACCTCGCACCCCGGCCCCTGTGGGTCCTGGTGGGGCAGTGCTGGAAGGGGGAGGCCCGGTGGCAGCGGGCTGGTGGCTGTGGGGAAGAGCCCGCAGCAGCCTGAGGGGAGCGAGCGCCCCGAAAGTTAAACACCTGAGGGAGCAAAGCTGTGCTAAAGGCTCTGTCAGAGCACAGTCAGATAAATGGGGTCCATCAGGAAAAAAACATCGCGTCTTCCCCGTATCTAACATCAAATATCTGCTTCAGTGGAAAGCTCTGAACATCTTCTGGTCCTCGCCAAGCCACAGCCCTAAACGCTGATCTCCTCTGGGTCCTCGCCAGGCTGACTGGCCTCCCTCCGTTCGTGAGGGAGCAATTCCTCCTAAAGATCAGTCTGTGAGCTTGGTGTTTCCTTTATCCTTTACGTTTTAACAAACTGCATTTCTCATGCCTCTCCCCCATCTCCTAAAGTCTGCCCATCCCAGATACAACAGAGGGTTTGTAACCACATCTGTGACACTGACACAAAGATCTTAGGAAACCTCAGGTACCTGGACTAGCACACAAATTGATGGGACAGAAAAAGTCTTTAAAAATCTGAAATCCCACCAGTATTCCTGAATTTTCCTAGCAGCAGAGGGCTACACTTCTGGAAGGAGGAGGTTTAACACTAATGGGAGTTCATTGCTTCAGTCCTGTCTCTACCTGCTCATAAATGAGATCTCGCCTGGGATGCTGTTGTGTGGCAAAACCTCTCCTGACTCTGGTGAGCTTTCCTACACACACACACCAGACTTCAGCAGATCACATCCTAGTTCAAAAAACCCAAAAGTCCATGTGAAGCAAAAGCACACCAGGCTGACAGCACTAAGGGCAGCACCACCTTGCTGGGGTTGGTTGTGGGGCTTATTTAAAGGGGTCAAGGTGAGGTCCTCTGGAGCAGAGGACCTGCTGCTCCATGGCCAGCTGAAGCCAGCCAGCTCAAGGAAAAGGTTGATCTTGTGGGTTTGAGAACATCACAGAAAAGGCAACACCCATTGCCATGATCTGTGTTCATCGTCTGGCTCGGCAAAATGCCTGCCCAGACCTCTATGCAGAATTAAAGCCCAGGCAGGAAAAACACCACTGGGAATTTATTGGATTCTCCAAGGGCTGTTAATGGAAGTAAAGCATCTATAAAATGAGAGGATGATTAAAAATGCTCTTTTCTACTCAGCTTAACAGCCCCATTTGCTATGAGCCTGCATGCCAAAATCTACAGGACAGAGCGAAGGACGACCTTTTTTCCTCTCCTCCCTCCTACACTCCTGGCTCGCGCCTTGAAAGCTGCAGTGACGTTGGTCCGTGTGCCTGAAAACAGAGAGCTTTTGTGCAGAAACTTCCACAAGGTCGCGTTAAAAGCGGCTGCATACAGCCAAGCACGGCGTCCCCCTGCAGAAGACGTGGAGCTGAGCATGGGGACTCAATCCTGAGCCTGGAGGAGGCAGAGCTCCGAGAAGGCTCTTCGGTAAGAGATGCTCTGCAGCTCTCTGCTGTCCCCAAGCCTTCTCTTTGTTAATTCAGGCCCAATCTTCGTGGCAACTGCAATGAGACCATTGCCTCCAGCAGCTGCGTTTCTCTCCTAGGAAGGAGCAACAGTGATTTTGCATTCTGAGCGAGCAAAACTCTGCCTGCTCTTTGCAGTAAGGGCTGGCAATTTCATTGAATGGATTCCAGTCGACAAATTGAAAACATGTACTGCTATTTTTTTTTTTAAGACTTTCCAGTTTACAGGAATTAGGCAGTTATATCTCAAATTCAGTTCAAGTGCTATCGCAGAAAGATTTTTGCGATATTAATTTCTTGTCTGTATTCCCCCTGTATCTCAGTATCACTGTAATCCCAGACAGATGTCCAAATTTGCTTAAAAATTACCCTGAGTTTCTACTAGAAACTCCATTTTTCTGTATGTTTTACAGATTGCCTTGGTCTTAATCTGGGTGCAGCTTTCTTGATGCAACCAATCTTACATGCATTTTTGCACTTCTAAGCCTGGGGATGAGTATCTCACATTAAAAGATGTGGTTTGGCAAAAGGATTAATCTATACTGCTCACGGTTCTGCCAAGCACCACAGCTGGGTTAGTAATTATGGCTTTAAGAAGTTACATAAGCCTTCCTACTACGGGCTTTTAATGGGTTTACACAGCGCAGCCCAACAGGAGCGCTTGTGCAGGGGTGGTCACAGCGCTGGAGTGACAGAGCAGATGTCGGAGTGTCCAAAATCTGCTCAAGCAGGGTAACCCAGAGCTGCTTGCCCAGGACCACGTCCAGGTGGATTTTGACTATCTCCAAGGAGGAGACCCCACAGCCTCTCTGGGCAACCTGTGCCTGTGCTCTGTCACCCACACAGTGAAGAAGTGCTGCCTGGTGCTCAGAGGGAGCTCCCTGTGTTCCAGTTTTGCCCACTGCCTCAGGAAATCAAGGGCTTTTTGCTCAGTCTTTGTGCCGGAGTGCTCAATCTTCCACCAAGACAAACAGCAGCAAGATTGCTCTCAGAAACCCAGACAAGAACATTTTCGGGCATGATTATGTATGAGATGCAAGGGAACGAGAAAAAAAAAAAAAAGAGAGAGAGAAAAAACATCTGTTCACATGGAGTTTATTGCCATTCACTTAAGAGGCCCATTAAATGCCACAAAAAGCTATTTATCCTTCTGTTTGAGGCAATTACCCTGCTGCACGTCTCCGTGGCAGTTCTCCCCGTGATTGCTGCTGGAAGCCTGGCATTGTGCAGGCACACTTGCAGCACGGCCAAAAGCCTGGCCACAGCAGAGAACCAGGACGAGTGTTTTCCAGGACATGGTCAGCGGCTGAAATCCAGCAAGGAGGTGGTTTAGAACAGGGACATGAGGACGGCACATGATGAAACACCTTGTCCGAAATACCTTGTGCACAGGGGAGAGTGAGTGAGTGGCCATATGGGGCTGAGCTGCCTGCCAGGGTTAGACCACAACACTGCTCTCCAATTTTCCTCCTCCACGAAATCTCGACTTTGACATCTTTAGTGAGAAAAACAGGCATTTGGGGGAAATCCTCGGAAAGGAAACAGGCTGTTTCTGAGCATCCCTAAAACACTGAGAGTCACTAATACCTCAGCACCTGATTGCTGCTCTCCTCACATTTCTGTTTCCTTGATGATTTTTTTTTTTTTTTTTTAAGCTCTCCCTATAAGATTTGCTGGCCCTAAATGAACGTTCAGCATCACTTCGTTTGGGCTTTGTGGGTTTGGCTGGGCAACTGCTCGATCCAACACCTCCCTCTGGTGGAAAACAGGGAATAAAGCAGGATTAAAAAAAAAAACAACACCGTGCAGCGTTACACAACTCTTTAAAAGAGCTGTGAAAACATCATCCACCTCGGTCCGGGCCCTGATTTCCCCTGTAATTACTGCATTGACTCCAAACCGAAGGAATTTGAATGTGTCACACTGAAGTTTATTTCAAGCTGTACTCGACGAGGAAAAGGATTATAATGAACGGGGAACTCCGATTTTCCCACGTTTTTCAGAAATTTGGCAATTTGTCTTAAATATAGGACAAAAGCCTGCATCAAGACAATATGTCTTTATGGCTTTGTTTTCGCAGAGAAAACCAACAAAGCCCCCTCCTGCAGCAAACTCTTATTTTGCGCTCAAGTTCCGAACTCCGCCAGGCAGCCCATCTGCTGTCGGCGAGTCGTAAGGACGGATAAAAACGCCTCGAAATATAATTGTTCCTTTTTCTGTGCCATAATTATGCCTCTGAAGTTCATTACGAGCGTGGCAGATTGGTTGCCATCTGCCAGGAGTGCCTAGTCAGTGGCGACGAGAAGGCTCGGCTCCAGGACGGTCCCGGTAGCTCCATGGGCTTAGGAGCAGCGCAAGATTGGTGTTGAAACCTAATTATCTCTCCCAGGGATCTGGCACAGCCAGGTTTAGAACCAAAACAGAGCTTTGAAAATTGTTTGGATGCCGTCTTCAGCTGGAGCTGAAATGCTCACAGTGCCCACACCTCTGCTTCAGCTGCTGGCAAGGACTTTGGGTGAGGAGCGGAGACTCAGGGATGCCTGATGAGATATCACACCAACCCTAAAGAAGTACCAGAGCCTTTCCAGAAGAAAGACAATTACTGGTTTATCGTGATACCATGATAAAAAGTTACATGGGCAAGAAGCAAAATAAATCACGTCCAAAGGAGGAAATGGAAGAGAACACGAACTCTTTCAAATGAGAAGTAGAAACAGGCAGACTGAAAAAAGACTTTGAGGAAATCATTTCCTAATAGACCAAAAGCTTCCTTTGACCCGCCAGGAGCAGGGGGCTGCCAGAGGGGCTGCAGGTGCCCAGGGAGTGCAGTCAGCAGTCAATTAGGGTATCAAAGGCGTTTGGGAGCAAACAAGCCCTAAGAGAACAGCCAGACAGATCACTTGTGTCTGCATCCAGCACAGAAAAGCTCAGGGAAATTCCCATGGCACGACCATTTGCTAAGGGGATAACGCAGAGAATCTGCCTCGGATTGAAGGGCCATTAGAGGAGGTTTTAGGCGAAATAGATGAAAGAGAGAGCAACAAATTCACGAGAAGCAGATGTTACTCACTCGTGGGTCTTAAATGAATGCTAATGCGGGGTTGTTGTGCTGTTAGGGATGGTGTGCAACCTTCTACTTAGAGCAGCCACGTCAAAGAGGACATGACACTGGAGAATGACCTGGAGAAAGGCAATAAATCTGGCTCCCCGTGGCAGGCAAGTGGTGAAAGCCACGATAATAAATCAGTTGCAAGATGTGGCCTAAAAGGGAAGGATCAGCAGCGCTTTGCAGTGACGCTGGGCTTCACCAGCATCTTACAGCAAGAGAGACACAAGGATGAAGAAGTGCCTCATTTATGGAAGTGCGACATTTATGGAGCCATGTAATGTCGGGGACCACAAAAACACGGGATGTGGTCCAGAAGCCATCCTACAAACAAGCAGATATTAGCAGTAATATTTCTAGCTCCGGATTAAGCTCAACTTTTTGTTACTTTTTAAGGTTAAAATCAGGATCAGGGAAAAATAACCCATTCTCCTGGTTAAATGTTTGCACTTTAACCATGTAGTTTGTTGTTTGTTTTTTTTTTTTTTCTCTGTTATCTGAGGACAAAGCAGTGGTTCAACAAGCACCGCACCAACACCACTGCCAAAAGCAGCAGCTCTGCCCGCTGATACCATCGGAGAGGACAAATTATTGGAGAAGGGGGAGCACAAAATTAGCATCTAGAGCCAAGGAGAAGAGGCCAAGGCTGCTGAAGGCCGGGCTGGCATAGGCTGATCCCAAGCACGATCTGCCCCGTGATTTAATGTGATGATGCTCCTTTCGGCAGCTGTCCCCTGTGCAGGGTGACTGTCCCCATTCCCCACGAGCAGCAGGAGCTGGCAGCCACTTCTGAGCCTGGCAATTACACCAGGGCCTTGCTTGGCCCTCTCAGGCCCCTCCGAGTGAGAAAACCCCTTGTTTATGGAAAAAAAAAACCTACAGGAGTGACCTCTGCTCTGCTATTAGAATTTTATTTATCGGTCAATTTTAAGCGTGCTTTTTGGAAAGATTTTGATCTGTTTTGTAATTGTAAGGACAAAGAACTACCAACACTTAAGTAAGCCATTTAAAGTCTACTGAGCAGTTTAATAACTAACAGATATTCACCTTGCACTTTGACAGCAAGCTCTAATTTGAAGTGCTTCATCAGGGAAACTCTTTACTGTGAGGAGGACTGAGCACTCTGGGGGTCTCCCCTTGGAGATCCTCAAAAGCCCCCTGGACGTGGTCCTGGGCAAGCAGCTCTGGGTGTCCCTGCTTGGAGCAGGTGGCCTCCAGAGGTCCCTGCCCACCTCAGCAGGGACCTGCTAAGTAGAAAAGAAATGTTTGCACTGCCAAGCCCACCCTGAAAAATCCTCTTCCTACAGGCCATGTCAGTGCTGCTGTTGGGAGGAAGAAAATATCCGTGTCTGAGAGTAATATCGGCGGTACGTGGAACAGAGGAGTTGCAAACAAGTGTGAAAGATGCTGTAGTTCACATGGGTTCACACCAGCAACTTCTCTCAAAGAAATGTCAAGATTAAAGGTGTTTAAAGGCGTTTAACCTGCTCTTAAAATCAAGCTGTCTGGTCGCTGTGCCTGAGTGGCCTGGTATTGCTTTCTGTAGGGGCCGACCCGGAGCGCTGTAACACAGCTCTAGGCAGAGTTTCCTTTTTATTTTAAACCATAAAGTTTGTCAGCAAGGTGGCAGGAGAGAGGGAAATCCTAGATCAGATTTGGTGCAACAGGAGGGAAGGAGATTTTACCGAATCTGAACCGAGCGCATCCAAACGCCTTTTGCAGGCAGATGAACGATGAAGATTCACAGTTTGGCCCTGCACGAGGAGCCCCGCAGGGCAGCAATGCACTCTCCCACCAGGCGAGTGGCCTCTTTGGCTGTGCCTCTGTGCACCGAAAAGCCACCTGCCCCGTGCCCGTAGTTGTGGACCACCGGGAGCTTGGCTCCTCCCCGGCTCAGGACCTCTCTCTGCAGTCTCACAGCCGACCTGGAGGGCCTGAGGCCCACCTTCACCCTGACATCCTCAGCTCGCTGCAGGGACGGCTCAAGAGAACAACATCTGCTGAAAATATCCCTGGTAGTGGCAGGGTCAGGGGACAGGCTCCAGCTCCCCTTCTCCCTGGTTCCCCCCAGCGTTACGCTGTGCATCCCCGGGTAGATGTAAGTCGAGCCGTCCCCGTCCCGGATGAAGTGTTTCACCCACGGAGCGTGCACCTGGAGAACCTGTCCCCTGGTGGGGAGCAGCTCCCGGTCCCCCACGAGCTGCTGGGCTCCGACGCCCGTGCAGTTGACCACGACGTCGTACTCGCTGCGCAGCTCCCACAGGTCTGCAACTTTGCTGGTGCGCAGCTGGACACCGTTTGCTCTCAGCCTGAAAAGCAAACAAACAAAAAAAAAACAGAAGTGAGGTAGAAAGGAACCTCCTAGATCCGTGTGTGATTATTGTACACATTGAGTAGGTGAGATTGCCTCTGACATCCAGAGCAAAACCAAGATGGGACAACAGATGGAATAAAAAATAAAGAAAACCACATGGGGCTTCTGTTGGTGACTTGGCTGATTTGGCCTGATCAAAGCTATTTTTTTAACTTGTTTGGAGAGGAAAAGGTCCAGCATGTTGATGGATATTACACAGCAGGGTCTGCCATACAACCCTAGACAGACAGACAGATCCTCATGGACTCAGCAACCCATTTCTGTAATGATCCCAAGCTTTAACAGCAAGCTGAGGGGTGAACAAGGTGCAGATCCAAGGCGCACCTGGTGCTCTGGGGACAGGGCTCTGGGTGCAGCGGGATGCTGCAAGACCTGGTGAGACCTGGGGAGGTCCCACGCGGCCACCCTGGCTCAGCAAATTGCTGGGAGAGCCCCTGAGCACTGCCATTGGGGTGCTGCCATAAAAAACACACCAATAAAAAGCTGCTGAGAACTCCTGAAGTCAGGCAAGCGAGCAGGAAAAAATTCCTGAGGTCCATTTTTGGAGCGGCAAGGTGGGCACAAAGACAATTTTCCTCGTGGACTGCCAAGAGAAGGGTTTATAAATACAGCTCAGATCCCCGGGGTTTTGAGAATTAGTTACATGCGTTAGCACGTTCTCATTTCTCGTCACCAGGGAGAAGAGAGAGAAAAGGAGCTCGAGCATCTTATTAGACTGAGTCCTTTGAGGAATAAGAGGGCTGTAACAGGAATAAGGCGAGACTGGGTATCACGTGGCAGATCCTCAGTGGGTTTAACAACTCGCTTCAGCAGAGGTTTCCGACTCGGTGAGCGATGAAACGTGACAGAGCGTGTGTGTGGAGGAGAGGGCACAGCCCTTCTCCAATTTTGCCCAAACCCAACAAGCTCCCCCGGGCCTGGGCTTTTCTCCCCACTCCCATCCTGCAGCAAACCGACCTCTTCTCCAGCCACAGCAGGTAGGGCGGGCAGTCGCACTTCAGCGTGGTGAAGGCCTGGCCCCATCTGTGCTGAGGGAACTTCTGCAGCTCCGCCGCGGACATGGGGCGAAACCCCAGGACGACGTCAGACCAGAAAGGCACCTCGTCTTTGGGGGGGGTTTTAAAGACCTGCCAGCTGGAAGGACACAGAGAAAAAGCTGCAAAACTTTGTAGCTCTGCCCTGTCGCTGCAATCTCAACGCAAACCCGAGGATTCAGGCGCCTGGGCTGCAGCAAGGAAAGCCTCTGCCTGCTCCAAAGGGTGCCCCTGGGGCTGCTCTTACCCAGAAACCAGGTGGATGCCAGCCTCTGACGCCTCGGCAGAGTTGCTGATGGCAAAAAGGTACGCGAAGGTCTCCTTGAACCACTGCTTCTGCACGTGGATCGGCGTGCCTGCGTGCAAACACAACCAAACACACAGTGAAAATGCGAAGAGGAAAGGTATGCAAGCCAGAATGGTACTTTTCCTCCTGAATCGCTGTGCGTTGCTGCACCCCGAGCGCCGATTTGCACGCACCTGGGTAAGTGTGCGGGATGAGCATCCCGGCCGCCACGTCGCCCGTTGTGTTGGGGCTGAACTGCTCCGCAAGGACGCTGAGGGGGCAGCTGGGGAAGGCCTCGGAGATGCAGAGCGCTGTGGACAGGCCGACGAGCCCCGCGCCCACCACGGCCACCTTGGGTGCTGCCATCGCCGGGGCGCAGAGCCGCACCTACAAGGCAAGGAGCAAGGCACCAGCACCTGCAAGGCTCCCAAACCGAGGACTAGAAAAAGACAGAGCCGATAAAGACCTTCAGATTTGGCTTTAATTAACTTGCTAAATCAATCATTAAAGTTTTCTTCGTCAAGGGGCACCTGCTGCCTCAGGCATCCCGGGGTGGATTCCTGCCAAAAGCTGAGGGTGCAGCCAAGGGAGAAGTCTCCTTTGCCTGTGCCTCGCACGTTTTTCTGGATCATCTCACAACATCGGCTCTTGGCCGGGATGCTGGCTGAGGCAGACCTTTGGTCCTGCTCCTTCACAGTCCCCTCTCCCTCTCCCTGTGCTCCTACGGGACTCGCTCACCACTGACTGCCGAAATCCAGCCTCACGACTGCTCTCCCAGAGCCTTTTCTGGAAAACGGGGCCTGCAGTGATTCGGGAGGGGCTGATTTCACATTTCCCTGGGACTTTCAGCACCTTTGATGGAGGTTTGGGCAAGAAAACTGCGGGATCACGTTTGTTTTCAGGATCCTTGCTCGTAACACTGCACGGCTTCTCTCTCCCCCCTGCGGTTTTCCTGCTTAGGGTTTGCTGTCCCTGCCGTGTGGGAAGGGAGGGGGCCGTTCAGAAAGCACGACTGAGCTGCTGGGCAGATAATGGGCAAACGGGGACCTAAGGAACCCCAAAATGGTTACTCTTGCAGTCACGCGGTTGTTTTTAACCCCACTCCCCTCAGACCCAAGTGCTGAAGCGCGCCCTTAGCCCCTGAGGCCTGCGGTGCCTGAGGTGGGCTGAGCGGGCTGCTCGCTCCCTCCCTCTCCCTGCAGAGCAGGCTTTTTGCCTCACACACCGCCCCGCTGACAAAACCCAAACCCCAAAGAAGCAAAAGCAGAGGGAAATACCTGGGGTGGAGAGGCCGGGCTGGCCGGGAGAGCTGTCCCGGCCCAGAGCTGCGTGCGCCAGGCCCAGCTTTGGCTCCCGGCCCGGGCAGCCGCCGAGCTTCGCTCTGCCCCACAGAGGAGGCTCCCTTCCCCCCCCCCCGTCCTGTTTTAAGGACACGTACGTAATCACCAGCCTCTATAGATGCATTTTTCTTCCTTCGGTGGTGAAAAGAACAGGGAATAATTCTGTGAAAATTACAGTACAGCTTGATTGTTCTGCAAGTTTTGAGAAAATAAAAAAGGGAGTTGTGTAAGGCAGGGAAGGGGGCAGAGGAATGGAGAAGGCTTGCATGGTTAGGGATGAAAATGTTGATGGCCTGATGTCTCTATCATAAAACATACACTATTTTAAGTCACCGATGGGTATGTACAGTTTTGGAGAGGAGCCTTTCAGATGTGGAAGTCTCTCCCCCTTCAGATATCAACAGAGGTTGCAGTGCCAGCTGAGATTAAAATTGCCCATGATTTTTCATCCTGAGATTCTACCTCTAGATGCTTACAGATTTGCCCAACTTAAATGACTTGGATGGAAGTTTTCTGTATCAGATGCTTACGCACGGCTGAGCGTTTCAGGGAATTCCCAGTGAGCCTTCTCCCGAGAATGAGATTCAGAAAATACACGCTGGGTGGTGATGCTGACTCTTGCAGTAATGCCATTAAATAACTCGCCTCCTTCCATGCACTAAACTATTTTGGAAGGATGAACACACCGTGCTTTGCTGAAGTGCCCATAAGGAATGCACGCCGTATTTCAGGGTGCAGGAGGAGCTCTGTCTTCTCTTTCTCTGTCATCTGGATGTGTGACTTCCCACCACAGAAGTTTGTTTATCCCTGCAGGGCTTTAGTGCTGTTGTTTTTCTTACCCCTGCTCTTCACTGATACGAACAGCGTGACACAGAAGATCTTTGCTCTAACTCCCAGAGCCCCAGCTCACCAAAAATTGGCCATTCTGTGCTGAGGCCTTCAAGACGTGTCCCAGAGCACCGTCAGCCCAGCTCCAGCGATGCTCAAGAAATGTTGCCCTTTGTTTAACTTAGCAATCCCCTGGCTTTGTGTGTGCTCTTGAAAGCAGCAGCAATGACAAACAGAACCGCCCTCTGTGAGCACAGCAGTGCTAACCTGCTGCTGATCTTATCAGTGCTATGGATCCCTTCTCTCCCTCTTCTTTAACCAGTTCAAAGATCAAGTCAGCATCAATGTCCGTGGTGAGGTCGCCTTTCAGCCCAGAGGCTACACTGCTCCTCATTTTACTGTTTCCACATGCTATTTACTCACTCCTTGAGTATTTACTCGATATGAGAAAGACACCAGCAAAACTGATTCATCTACTGAAAAGCTTTGTGAAAATATTGTTCAGAGATCATCCATTTATCCCTGGTTCTTTTGCTATATCCATCTTCATCTCAGTAAAAAACATGTTTCATTCTCATCAGTGGCAACGAGACCATGGAGACAATCAATTGCCCCTTGGTGTTGTTTTTTCCTAGCCCTGTGCAAGCCCACAAGGAACATTAGGAGGCAACATGAGTAACGAGATGCCTGTGAGCACTGCAACTAGCACCTGAGCAGCATCCGAGCCTGGGTCAGACAGGAATGCAGAAGGAGAGTTGATCTGTCACTAGGTGGGGAAGTGATTCCTCACTGCTTCTGGTTATCCATAAACCTAGGCTAGTAATTTATTTGAAAGAGCTGGTTTTGTGTCCAAACCTCTTTGCAGTCAGATTAATATATCAGATATAATAAGCAAAGGATACTTCCCCATTTTTAGGCTTGATTTTTTCTCAGCATCATTGAACTCTGTTCTCTTGCAATCAGTATCAGAGATTATTCAGATGTCTCATCTTTAGCAAGCAAATATTTGAACAGGCTTTCAGTGAGCTGTTCTTATTGTTTTTCCTCATCTCCTGCATATCGTTTCTCTTAACAGAATCATTCTCTATGGTTACCTTCAGGGAAGAACCTAAATCACCTGGCAGGGACATACAAAGCCATCAAAAATATGCACGATAAAGCCAAGTGACGGGTGTAACTTGATCAGAATAAATAAGATTAATAAAATCTTGGTGCAAACTGCACTAATTCAAGAGTCACTACTGAATTTGTCCTAGAGACTACTGCCCCAGCTGGGCCTAAAAGAATGACACAGGTTTTGTGGCAGGAGGGGTGTCCATGAAACACCAGAGCGCCAGCCCAGCTCCTGCCAGGAGTGTGCACCAAACGGAGAGCTGGTGAGTGTCAGAAGTTGATTAAATTACATACGGGTGTAACGATTAAATAATGTGCTTGTCTTTATTATTGCATGTGGCTGCAGATAATAAATACACATTTAAAAACTCATTAGTCACGTATATTGCATTAAACCCACATAGTCTGGGCAAATAAACTCTTCCCCAAGAATACCTGCTTCTCCCGTGTTTCCAAAAGGCACACTTCATCTGGTACACAGCCTGGTACAAAATGGGCAGGTTACCATTTTTTATGTGCTCTAATTCTTCTTCACAAGGGATGAAGTAATGTAATACAGCTTGATTGCATTTCCCTTGATGGCAAAAACTTGTTCTTTTGTCTACACTCACTATTTTCTTCTTAATCTTTGAATTTACTTTATTTTCTATGAATCTCTTGTGGGATTCAGGCAAGCATCTTTAAGATACGTTTGTGCAAGTGCATAGGATGAATCCAGACTCTCCTTTTAGCAGCCCCAAATGCCATTCTGGCATCGTGCCTCCACAGTACATGCGACCTTGCATTTCATAAGCCCTAGTGAAAGGCACACGCAAAGGCCTTGCGTGTTGCTCAGCCCCCCGCTCTGGAGGCTTCCTGAGTGACTGCACGTAAGGAGTTGGTAAAAATAAACCGAGAGAGATGCAGGAGGATGCCAGTGAGACCTCTACCCCTTTTTGCACAGAGCGGGGGTGCCAGACCATCCTCAGTTTCCACAGAGCTGTTACCCAAAACCCCTCAGCCCCCAGGCAGGGTTTGCTCCCTTGGTCAGACACTCCCGAAGTGCTCAACACAGAGTGCACATAGTTTGCAGAGCTTTTTTTTTTTTTCTACATGGTTAAAATTTTCTTAAATTGAAAATCACGTCAGCTAGTGAAGTAGAAAACGAATCTTTTCACATAGTTTTAAAATACAGATTCAAAATAGCAAATACATTTCCTTAATCCTTTCCTTTAGATATCATTAAATTCATGATAATTGCTCTTATTCCTATTTTTAACTCAGAAAGTATGTCCCTAAAAAATTGCAAGACTGTTTAATAAAATATTATATCAATTTTAGGATAAAACAAATTATTATTGTTCCAATAATGACCAGCAATTAAGACAGATAAGAATTCTAATCCAATATCTCATAAAACCATTACATATCTCCAGAGCCATTGACCAGCACAATAAATTTGCACTCAGACAGAGATGACAAATACAAACATAAAAGAACTGAAGGACTCAGATAAAAAAAAAAAAAAAAGATGAAAATGAATTCTTTTCATGAGCCATGAGAAGAAAATATGCCCCCAAGGAACTTAGAAGCATTTGTTCTCAAACCCAGTGCTCTCCTTTGAGAGGATTTAGATCATCTGTGAATATTTAAGAGAAGTAAATCAACTCGCTCTGCCTATGCTACATTTATAATGTATGACCAGTGTTAAACATTCTTCTCCACGTGGAAAATGCAAGCAAGTAAACAGAAATTCTACCGGTACATATACATAAATGCTATTTCCTTTCTTACTGTAATGTGCTTCCTCAACTGAAAGAAAAGGATACCCCAGAGCATCCTCAGAGCTGGTCATGCATAAAGTAACAAAAAGTGTACCAGGAGAACGATTAACATTTTATTTCCAGGGGAAATATGTAAGATATATATATATGGGATCATTGGGTTAGGGAAATTTGGGTCTCACTTAATCAAAGATCGAATACCAACTAACTTCAGTGACAGGATGAACTGGCCTTAAGGGTTAAAAACTATCAAGCTGCACTGTGTTTGAGAGTCATAATTAAAATCATAGCCTGTAAGGATTACTCGGTGTCATCACACATTTAAGACTTTACTATTTTTCTTATTTTCTCTACCTTATGTGTACCAATGACAGATGACCTGGTCCTGAACCCCTCAGGTCACAAGAACATGTAACTGTACTTAGTGTGACCCCCAGATGAGTTATTCTGCAGCTAACAAAGCAGACAGATTACTTGTTCCTTGTTCAAACACACTGTACTGCCCCCAGTACTCCGGACTGAGGAGTTTAAGATAGGATCATGTATGAAAAAAAAAAGGATCATGTGAAAGAACCCCAAAATAATGCAATTGCTTGGAGCTCTGACGGGACAGCGGTTGTAATGCCAGACAGTATCAGTTTCATTCCCTGCTAGGGATATTGCATGACATTCTTTGGTGTGGTTAAGCCCTTGTTTGAGGCAGGGTTTGGCAACAGATCCTGCAGATAAGGACGTTTGTTCTGCTCTGGGAAGCAGGGCGGGGGGATCTGGAAGCAGTGGAAGAGTACTGGGTCTGCTCCTCGGCAAAACAGAAAGCCACAGCGTGTGAGTAATCCTATCTGGAGCCATCAAAGGGTGTTTTCAAGTGCTCCTCCGAATAATGACGGGATTACTCACATGGGTAAGGTTAAGCACATACTTTTGCTGAGCAAAATATATCTGGACAGAAGCCATAGTATTTATTCTATGCAGTTCTCTTCTGAAGTTTTCTCTGCAGATACTGGGACACTCACATAACTGAAGGGAGAGTAAACACCCCTTCTGCTTTACTTATCACCCAGAAACACCCTAAATTTAAACTGCCTGACTTTTGCTGGGCTTCAAAGCATGTTAGTCCTCACATAGTATAGGATCAAATCCTAAGTCCAGTACCAAAAATGCTACTTCCACTCCAGGACAGTGCAGTGAAGAAAAAAATATTTTACAAGGGGATATAAATCATTATTTTGGTTTCAGAAGTCACTAAAACTAATATGCCTCTGCAGATATAACAGAAAAACATGAACAATACAGCACATGGAATATTTATCTACAGTAATTTAGATGTCTGAATTTAGGGTACATGTCAAAGAAGTAAACAGGGCAAGACGTGTTTTGATGAGATCGTGTCAGCTAGCATGTGAGTAGGTGCCTAAGATGAGAAGAATTCTGTTTTCAAACCAGGGATGGCAGGGCTCACACAACCCAGGCTGTCTGAACCCCAACATGCAGAAGCTTCCCATGCCAAACCCCTCAAACAAGGGTGGCCAAGAGGCTACAGACTCAAAAGCAAAGAATAAACTCTTAGGTCTGGAGGTAGACCGAAAAAAAAAGAAAGCTGGGACAGAAATCCATAAAACTAGCAGCCAGAATGATGCTTTCCTATCAGTTTTTTCTACTATTTTTTTGTGGTCCACAGTCACAAGGCATGGTCGCTGCACCTGCAAGTGAGTGTTGACACACACATGAGGTGTAACCACAGTGGGACAGCTACAGACACTTGGACAAAAACTGCCAGAGTAACTGGTAACTCAGTGTCCTCAAGCTATCATTTTTTAATTTGTATTTTTACGACTGATTTGGTGTAGTGTAAGTTAAAATGGAGCTACAGACTCAATACAAGACTCAATACAGACTCAATATAAGTCTATGGAGTCTGACACAAATGGTGTGCAGATACCACGTCTACTAAACTGTCATCAATAATTAAGTCCACCTCTGTGCAGAGAGCCTGAATAAGGCTCATGTGCCACTTGCTCTGTTCCACTGAGGACTAAGAAGAGGCATGTGGCAAAGTTGCTGGTGTTGTTCTTAAACCCCAGAAAGAATCTGATGCTAGACCTGAGCTGAACTAAGCGAGAAGGGGTGCACTGAAATAACCACCTGGAATGAGTAAGACTTTCAAAGACATCAGGCATTTTAGTTTTACCGGCAATAAACCCAGTGAATATTTTTTTTCTAAGCCTAATAAAAATACATTTGCCATTCAACAGAATGAACAGTATACAAACTATTTGCACATTTTGCAAACTTAATTTTTCAGTCAGAAGCTGTTCCACAGAATACTTCTCTTTGTTAGAAATGGCAGTTTTTCTAGTAGCAAATTTGAAAAAAAAAAGAAAAAAAGAAAAAAAAAAGAAATTAGTTTAACTTTGAAATTATTGGTATGACTTGATGCAATGCTAAGGCTTCTCTCTAGAATTATAACTGTGTGTTTGAGTTCACCGTGTTTTGAAGTCTCAAGTCTGTAGCTGTCAACTGCAAAAGGACAAGAGTGGACAAGGCGCGTTGTGGTGGGTTTACAAGTGTAACTGCAGAAAATGTGAAGCAAGGAATTGGCCTGTTTTTACATACAGACAATCAGGTGGGTTCCAAAATTTAGAGTAATAATTCCAACGGGTCACAGCAAGTCAGATAGGTTTCCTAAGGCCTAGGCAAGTTTGAGAAGTGATCTAGAAATCTCATCAAATTTTCTGCAGCACCTCAGTCACGTAGAAAAGGATTCATATATTTGCTCTACTGAAAAAGCAAGACTGGTTACAAATTAAAAGGCACAGGTAGTATAGAACAGTCACATTTCTTGAATAAAATGATCTTATAAGTTATTTAACTGTTAAAATTGGGAACAGCTATTTTGTTCTTGCTTTATTTCTCAGGGCTAACTGTTTCTGGACCACACATCTCTATCTTTTCCAATGCTGCACCACTCTGTGCTGGAGGAGTCTTTTCTGAACAGCTTTTCTCGTTTCTTCCTATTTCTGTAGCTTCCTCCAAAGTATTAGTCAACGGTTTTCCAAGAGTTTCTGGTAGCATTATTGTTAATATTCCACTCAGCAGAGCCATGATTCCAACGAGTAACTAGAATAAACAAAAAGTAGCTGTAAGGGTAGAAACGTCTTTCAAGTTATGCACATCTTTGCTTTTGCTTGAGAGTACACAATATAAAACTCAAGGAACAGTAATGTAAAGATCATAAGTCTAAATGCTGACTGTATACTGTATAGGATACAGTATACAGTGAAATATAGAATATAGTATACAGTCAAAATACTTTTGGTTTTTTTTGCTGTTGTTTTGCAAATGAAAGATATGCAGCAGAATTAATGAAGAAAAAGTGAAGTGTTTTGTTCCATAAGGGATCAATACAGTGCAAGGAGGAATAATTCTGTTTGAGAAAAGAGAATACGTATATTTTCATTTGGTATTTCTACTACCCGGTATGCATGAATGGATTCTAGGGTTGCATACATTTATCTTTACATACACGTTCACAGATAAATCCCTGAAATATCCCTGCCACCTGCAACCTCAATTCTTACTCTAGCTCTTGAACCTCTCCCCTTGTACTTGCGCACCCACTCCTCCTGTGTGCAGCCAGACCAGAATTTCTCAGTACAGACTGGAGCTACATAAGTGTACATCCCAGTTCAGGAGAGCACTTCAGCAGATAATGTAGCTCTCAACAGGAATAACTTGCTGAATTGACATCAAAGATCCTATAGGGGTGTAGGCACACATGCTGTGGCTACCTCTTGGATTTGTCCATGGTGTACAAGCTACGTCAATGACAGCACTGCTTCAGCGTGATGGAGCAAGGCCCAGGACCATGTGGGGCAGATGCAGAAGCATGCACATGCTCCAGGACTCTCTCGTCTTCCCTTGCATTTCTGTGTCTTGTTCAGTGAGAACAATTTTCACTTTCCTCCTCTGCAGTACAGAGCAGGCATTAAAACCCTGACATTCTTCCAATCTTCGATGATAAATGATCCAAATCTCTCTTGATTCAAATGCTTCCACACAATACATCATGCCTGGCCTCAGTGTTTTTCCATTTCATGACTGTGTACTTTGATACTGTATTATCTTTATCTTGCCCTAATTCTCAGGGCTGTCCTGTTTGTTTAATACTCGCCTTCCAAGTGTGAGAGGGGACATTTGGAATTACTGTGCTTGTGCCCCCCACACAGTGCTTGAACCAGCCAGCTACCATCTGCATCTAAGTGGGATTTTCTCCTCAGGTCAGAAAGCAGCTTTAAAATTGGAGTTCTCCATCGTGACCTTGAACAGAGTTGTTTTCATGCAAATGCACCGTCCTGGTTTTCCTTCCCCCTGAGTTAAGGGGACAGCTTGTTTCAAGCAAGCTTTTGAGAAGCAGAATTCACTCTGTTCAACAGTAATAGGACCAGAGGAAATGGTACTGAGTGACAAAGAGAGGGAAATCCTTGCAGACTGCAGACATATATACATGGCAGGAGTGATATTTATAAACATAGTTCAAACCATTAAAGTCTCACCTCTGAGTGACAGAACTCTCCTGTTAAGATTTATCTTCTGCCATGGTTAAGACAGGATGAATTGCAACCTGTCAGCTATTCCACACTAACCTCTCTTATGTATTCCTTTAGGCTGTCATAAGATTATAATTGAGAATATTGAGGAATATTAAGGACATTGAAATTTAACCATTACTAATTTATTTGGATACCCATACATTTTGAGTTTATGAGAACGGGGTCATTACTGACACCCGACAGCAAGGTTAAAGCAACACTCTGTGCTTTGAGTATGTGTCTTCTCTGTTCCAGTTAGCTTTTCAGACATTCTACATTCTTCTCATGTTTCCCTTCCTTATGAAACTACGTCTTTTTCCCCTGCAAACTCCCACTGTCCTGGATGCCTGCACACTACCTCTCCTGCCTTTTAATCTCAGCTCTATTCTTTTCTGTATTCCACCACCATATTTTAGGTTGTTTTTTTTTTTTTTTTTTATTATTTTTTTCATTGTGAAAGCTGCTGCACACAGACTTATTCCCTGTGTTTCCCTTCTCCCTGGCTTTATAAAGCATTTTCCAACACTTCCTATGAAAGACAAAATATGAAACAATTAAGTCACAGTTTGTTAATGAATAGACTTTTCAAGCAGCATTTTTTTTTTTTTTAGGAGCAGTATCCAAACTTATCCAGGACGTTACATTCAGTTAAGCAGCAGACTTTAGATCTTTAGCAGACTTGGCATCCTTCTTCACAAGGCATTGGACAGAATTTAGCCCTTTGTTCATAACAAATGTATACATTATGTATGTGTGTAATATTTTCCATATATAATTCAGCATCAGAAAATGTTTTTCTGATATAGCTAAGGAGCTAAATGTTTATGGATCAAAATGTACTAGTGTGCAAAATATTCATCAAAGTTTATGTGACAGCTATACCTATTTAATTCATTGCTTTTTTCAGGGTCTTAAATTGAAATCTGACTTTCTGCTTTATCAAACTTTCAAATTATTCCCAACACTTCAGTGAAGTCAGCAGCTTCTAACACCTATCATGAGTAACTTCAAAAAAGATTTGCCACCATTTTTCATGTCTTCCACCCTGCCTGGAGCAACAATTTTAATTTCACACTGGTATAAGGCCAGAACTTAATGTACTTGGACTAGAAAGAGAGATAATTTGCATTAAATATTCCTACAAAATAACACTTTTACTTCTGAGAACAAATTATTTTTCTAGTCTGCCAATCAAATATATTTATATCCACCACATCTGATTGCTCAGGACCAATCTAAAAAAGTGATCTTATTTACAAAATCCCTACTTCAACAACAGAAGAGAAAAGGTTAAATTTTGTCCTGAAAACCACTGATATTAGATTTAGGCTTTGTATTCACGTAACTTTACTGACCTCAGTGGAGTTATTTTTTATTTATACTTTATGTTCTGAACAGCCAATAAACACAAAGTGTATACATAGAACAACTGCCTTTGTGTAAGTTTTCTAGAAAGTTGTCACATGAAAAACATATTTAGCAAGTTATTCAAGATTTATAGGCATTCAAATGAGATGCTTGCATTACTTGCAGGTGGCTCAACTGTACGTGAGGCAGGCTGTCAAACAAATTGTAGTATTAACTGCTCGACAGTGTGTGGTGTACACAATAGGTCAGCGTGATGCAGATCAGTTTACTCAGAAATGTAATCCATTTCATTTCACTTTCATTCCAAAACACTTACGTTACCTGAGACTTGGCAAGCTGTGCTCCAACCTCAGACAAGCCTACTTAATAAACTGACAAATGCTTTATAGTAGGAGCTAATAATGAAAATATATTCACAGTTAACTACTACACAGTTCTACAAATACTATGGACACTTTTTGTACTCTGAGAGTTGCTCATAGCTGAAATAATTCCTCTGTTTATACTGCCATTTGCACTGTTCTCCGGCATGTTTGGACATTCATCATCTGCGTTTGACTGCAGCTCTTCTGCACAGATAAAGCTTATCTCAGCTAGTAAAGGAAAAACATTGACTAGAGAAAGAGAATGTTCTCCCATGGCTGCTCTGTTGTGCTAATGTTGTTTTCTGTGTCGTTTCTGGGATGCTATCCTGGTTAGTATGGAGGCATTACTAAGAAAGAAAACAGTTTTTAGGAGCTTGAAGAATAAATAAATTTGTGGTCTGCTTCATCTTAGTAATTTTCATCCAAAGCAAATGAAAGTAATTAATCTAACTAACAAAACAAGTTCCTAAGACTACTCTCAGACTGATCTCTAGCATCTATAATTTAAGATTTTATAGTTGCAAAATCAAAAGGACAAAATGCCATTTTTTCAGGAAATTCCAATGTGGTAGACAAAATTAGTGTAAGAATCTAGGCCAAAGACACATTCCACTACATTTTCACCTTCTGACATGTATAATCTATATATAACATTGATGTGCTAGTCACAGTGAATTCTAAGGGCTTTTGAAAGAACTCAGACTATTTTTAAACTATTAATAAGCTCTTTTCCACTTTGATCTTTAATGTAAGCTTTGTAATTGTTTGTATTTTTGCATATATGGGCATAAATTATCCTTCAAGAAAAAAAAAGTGATTGAATAGATGCAAGATTTCTAAGCAGCAAATGCCTCACAATGGGAATGTAATGAAGAAATAAAACTCATTTGTGAGCAGGAATATATTATATTATATTATATTATATTATATTATATTATATTATATTATATTATATTATATTATATTATATTATATTATATTATATTATATTATAATTATATTTGTGAGCAGGAAAAATATTTTGTCCAAAACTGGTTTGAAGCTGCATAATGCAGAAGAAATGCCCAAGATCCATGAAGAAATGGTCCTACCCGTCTTTTGCTGGGGCAATTGGATATAAGGATCCAATAGTAATATGATCTGGAAATCATCTATGTTAGGGTGTGCCTAATGAATCCAAGGTTCTTTTCTTTGCCAAAGTCACCATTAATCTCATTAATATACCATTTGTCTCTCTTTTTCCATCTCTTATATTGTTTTCTTTGGTTCATGTAAATGAAAAATGCAAAAAAGGAGCTATGGGACAGATTTGAAGACCAAGCAGAGTAATTCTTCATCTATTGGAAAGCTGCTCCAAAAGTATCACAGGGAAGCCAGGGAAAAGATTAAAGAAGAATATTAAGAAAAGATAGCCACCACAGTGAATTCCATGAACGGAAAAACCATGCCTTTGAAAAAGGGTAAGAGTAAGTTATGAGCATGGTCAAGAACTGCTAGGCCTGCAGAGTAAAGAAGTGTGGACCGAGACACCTCTCAAATATTATATGGGAAATAAAGTATCATTGTGTGGAATATATTTATATGTCAAATTTATACTAGGATTCAGTGCATACATATGTTTGTGCATCCTAGCAACTTCTCAGATTTCAGTGATTCAGTGTCTCCCTTCTGCTTTAGCTGCATTTTTTTTTAACAATAAGAAGTTACTAAACTATGAGACCTAAAATTTACAATAAGAACAGTGCATTCAACTTCAAAAGAAAAGTTCAGCCTCTTGTCCTGAAAAAAAAGTAACATACATACTTTTTCAATAGGAGAAACATTTACCATTGAAATAAATACTTACAAGTGGCATGAAAATCCAAACACTTCTCAAATACACACAGAAAGGAGCAACCACACTGCCTACACGGCACATCATGCTCCCGCTTCCAACAGCAAGTGATCTATACACGAAACAAATATTTGTTAAGAATTCTGGCAGATACAGCAAAAAATCAGAAATGCATAGACACTTATCACATCAGTAGGATAACATGAAATTATACTAGGAAGCTATTGCTACGCCAATGTAATTTTAGGTTGTTTGTAGTGAAATTCAGCTACTTCTATAATGATTAAAAATACAATCAGCATTCAGCATAGACTATGAGATGAATGAGAACTTTTAAGAAAGGTATAACTAACATATAAGAAAATACGGAGTATTCTCTTTCCTCAGTGAAAGCAATCAATGCACATGGAAATGAAAAATAAATAAAAATTTACAGTACAGTCAAATATTAGACAACTCTGAAGCAGCAAAGGAACTCATCCTATCCTGCCATTAATGTCAAGAGCTGCTGGATATGGCCCAAGAGTGTAAAAAACTGAAATAACAACAAAACAATAAAAAATACCTGCCTGGCAAAAATTCTTACCTTACAATTGTTGGGTACAGTTCTGCTGTGTAGAGGTATATAAGGCCAAATGCCACACCTATTGAAAATTTTCCAGCCATATTTGCCAAGATAATTAGTACATTAAAATCCTATTGAAAGAGATCACAAATAAATAAATAACCAGAAAACATCATTGTTTCAAATGTGAATTAAATCCTTCAAAAGATGTGACTCTTCTTTAAACACAAAGCAGTATTTATTGCTTGCTTTTTTAAAAATTGGTTTCAAAAGGTAATTTAATGTCCATAAAACTTTACCAGTCCTGGTTCACTGAAGCCCTAGGAACATTTTACATCTGACTTCAGCAATGATAGCGTGAAGTCTGTCTGAAAATACAGAAGTCTATCCTTGACTGACAGCCGCGTTTTTAAAAAAGCCTTTAATCAGCCGTGTCATTTAGCAAGAGCAGCTGCATCTACAGACTTAGGGTTCTATAAAATAAATGTCTACTATAGGAACACTTTCAACAGTATGTGACTAACCTGAGGTATGAACATAATTAAAACACAGATCAGTGCACTTAAAATAAGGAACGGAATGAGTGTGTTTCTCCTTCCCAGTTTGTCCATCCCAATGCAAGCAATGATATAGCAAGGCAACTCCACAGCACCTGTCAGTATGAAATTATTCGGGTTTAAATCATGATTACACATATTCATTTTATATTCCCCATTCTTTATGGGGATTCATTTAATCTAGGAAGTTAGCTTGACCTTACATGTCATGAGTACGTCAAATCTAGAGGTAATCAACGTGTTGGGCAGTTCGTTTGGTCACAGAAATGGCAACAGGCATCAGAAAACAGCCTAGGATATGGTAGTGGGGGGTGAAGAAGGACAAGTGGAGCAGGTTTTACAGCACAGAGAAACTCCAAGTCTCTTTGGGGTGGAAAATTACAGAAAACAGCAAGGCTCTCTTTGAAGAGAGGGCAGCTGCTTACAATATCCCACGTGTACACAGATTTTCTCTTCCTTATGTCTCTTTCCGTGGAAAAATTTCTGCAGCCATAAGGGAGTGGCATTTGGTGAGAACTGTTCACAAATGCTGTTTAAGCACGGTTTGCCCCTAGAAAAATTATATTGAGCCCATGTCTGTCTGGACATGTTTTAAACCAACTTGCTCACGAAGAATGCTCCTATGTCTGGTGTAATGACAGGGAAGAATATAAGAACAAATATGCTGCATGCCTCTACTGAGCACGTGTACTGTGTTGATGCACCTATAATATTGCAAACCAATCTTTGAGGTTGGTATCGGTAAAAGAAGAGGCAGCTAGTCACTGTATGCCAGTCTGCTAAAATATTTGTGGAAGAGGTGGGTACAGTGATTTACACACTGCACTCCATCACAGCAATTTAATTATCCACTCATCCACTCTTCACCACACCGGTCTAACAATATCCAACAAAACATGACAGCCCAAATTGAACTCCAGAGAGTCCCAGTCCTCCTGCGTGCTGATGTACCTGGACAGTCGCATGCACTTCACTGAGAGCACTGGATCGCATAAAACAAAGCACATGACTTAATCCTCTGCTGACTCACAGCTATGTGCCCTATTTCAAGTCTTCTGAAGTCAATGGGATATTTCCACTGATCTTAATGAGCTTCAGATCAGGCCTTGAATGCACCAAGCAGCCTTTATAAACAACTAACACACCATAGGACGATTACAGGCAGACCGAAAGAACACCCTGACTAAATTAAAAATACATGGCTGAGAAAACTGAAATTATTATTGCTTTTGAGTACTGTGATTCTATTTTCTGGACTGACTGACATCGTATGTTATGACTGCACATGACTATAGCATGTAACTTTTTCTGTCGTTTCCTAGTTTGTGCTTCTCACAGAACAGTATGAATTTTGTGTCGCTGATCTGCTGCCCCTGGCTTTTGCATGAATCTGCTGGATGCTTGCAGGGCAAAGAGGAGAAAAATAGAACATGGTTTTACAATCACAAAGAGAGAGAGAAGAATTTTGTATGCCAACACATTCTTGATTGTGGTTTTTTTTTTCAGAAACACTGAAATGAGGCAGTGAATTATATCCTTCCTGTGTTAATCAGCTTTATGAACAGTTAACATTAATTTTTTTTATCAAAGTCCATAATTGAAGGAATAAAGTTTAAAAAATAGCCATCAAATCTCTAGACATTTCTGAAATTCATGTTCTAGTTCTGTCAGAAACAACATAAAGTACAGAAAATATTTACCTATGAGAAACAGATTTAAATATTCATTGCCTCCTAGATTGACAGAACTCAGGGAGAAGACGTAGTACCCCAGGCTCCCAGTGAACCAGACCAGCCAGACTGTGATGGTCCTTCTTGCAATGTACCAGTTACAAAATAGATCTAAGATGTTGTGCTTCTTGGCTGAGGGCGCGTCATTGTCACCTGTGCTGCCACTGACTGGACCATCGTGTTGGACTGAGTACAGTTCAGCCACTTTGCAGGGAGTGCTTACTTTGTTCCATCTTGCCATTGTATTGATTACTTTTTGTGCATCTTCGTATCTTCCCTCTGACAGGAGCCAAAAAGGTGTTTCTGGGAGCATCCAGCAGCACAAAACAAAGGGAAGAGTTGCTATGGAGAGAAATATCTGATAGACCCACCAGGTCCGAACCAAAAATCCCACGAGTGCCACAACCATAATTCCTATAGCAAAAAAAGCATGGACATGCATAGAAGCCCAGGTTCGTGCCTTAATGCCAACAAATTCAGTCACATAAACAAAAGCCACAACCAGATAGCCACTCGAAACCTGGGGAAGGGAGAGAGAGAGAAAAAAAAAACAAACACAGTGTGAGGTTTGTATCTATTCTCCGTGTGCAACAGCTAGCAGCGTTTACAAATGTACACATTTGTGTACATTTACTTGGCACTGCACTGGCATATTGCTCATTGACAGAAAAAAAAGGCAACCCTAAAAACAAATCAGCTGGACAAAAAGCTCACTCAAATTTTCAGAATACCTGGCACCGTGTTTAAAGATGTGAAGGGCTTTTGGATGCTTTCCTTTAGTGGGGTAGAGCCAGCAAGAGATACCTGGAAAAGAGCCTAATTTGCTGGTGATACTAAGTTCTTCACCTCCAAAAATCAGGTCCTTAATGACATCACAGACTAGACACTCAGAAAAATGAGGTCCCCTGAAGTAAGTGCCATTTCTGAAAATCTTGACCTTGGCTTTTAAGTTGACTATTAAGAGTCTGCACATTACAGAGCAACAAATTTACTAAGAATCACCTTCCATACCATTTTAAATTACCTCATTAAATCAATTTTTTACAATGTTAGAAGAGAAACTCATTTACACAGTTGCAGGTTCTCATACATTATCTAACCATGCTCAAAGAATGGAACTGCTGGTATATTCTGCATTTAACTATTTTTTCATTCACTGTATATATATTTGAATATATATTTCAATTTCTCTAGTAACACTCTAAACTCTTGATAGCTCAAAGCATTTCAAAACACAGCTAGAAAATCTATGCTAGAAAATACTCCAGTATATTCCTTTGATTAATCAATTCAAAAATCTATTTTCTGGTTACAAGTCTTCCAGTTAATAAACTCTGATTCTTAACCCACCGGTGCTGACAGGAATGCTGCACTGATCTCAGTGGCACAGAACTAGAGCTTCACACCTTCACCTCTCAAATCTATCCTAGTGAGCAGTTAAAAAGCATCAGTTTGGTCAGAGCTTTTTGCTTGTATAAACTAGCATAGTCCCTAGAATCAACAGCCAGAGAGTCAGCGGAGGGACTCCTGCTGATCTCACTGATCAAGGGTGAAATGACCATGCAGTTTTCCTGCTGGGAAATCATTCTGAGCTCTAACCAGGCAAAGGGAGTTCCAGGTTCAAGCTCTCTCTTGACTACCCACTCACAGGAAAAAAATAAATGATGGGATTATTTTCAAATTTCTAATCTCTTTTAAATAACTTATATATTTTTTCTTGTAACAACCTTCTAATTTCTTTCTAACATAGGAAGACTATAAATATACTTTTGGATGTAAGAACGTAATTTAAAGTTGTTTACCATACATATATTATACAGATGTTATATATATGTGTGTACAGATCCACATACACACATATACTGGAACAGCCTTCAGTACAGCATAAACATCTAGGTGCTAAACACGTCTACCTATATATTGAGTACTTCAGATGTAGCTTAAAAGAACAAAGAGATGCATGGAAGAGAAAAAGTGCATCTCTCCTCCATCGCTGAAAATGGCAGAGATAAAGATCATACTTAGATTTATTACTTTCAGAAAAATATACTCCATTGGTAACAGCACAGAGAAATGCAATGCCAGCTGCAGTGCAGAAACCAGAATTCGCTGCTCACACTTGGTATTTAATTACCAGTCCAGCAGAGGTTGGGATGGAGGAGGTACCAAACATTGCTTCATACAGATGCTTTCTATTAATTCAAAGAGGAAAAGTGCTGTGGTCCAAGAATATTCAGACTCTCCCTGCTCTGCTGAAATAAGTGCAACAGAGGGGGCTTTAGAATAATGAAGTAAGGGAGGGAAGAAGGAATAAAGGGAGGTTTTCCTGAGAAGGGGTAGGAAATAACATGTAAAAGAGACAGGGTGAGCATCCTTTCTTACCATGGCAAGGAGAAAGCGCACAATCACAAAACTGTAGTAGTCAGACGTGAACGCCACTGCGACGCCAAATACAAACTGACCAGCACTTGTGAACCATATGACACGCTGTCTTCCCAGCCTGCAAATCACAGCAGCAGTAAAATGATGAGTAAAATGATAAACATCCTGTCAAAATAAAGCCGCAACTTCAGAGATCCTGTCTGGAAGTGAGTCTGAAAATACTGTACTTAAAATTTTCACTCACCACAGAGCCTTTGGATTAGTTTCCTGTATTTTCCTTACCATGCAAGAAAGAAAACTTTAATTTTTCAGTAAATTTCCATCTAAACCAAAGAGAAAGGAAACTCCTATGGAAGGAGCTTCCACCCCAGAATTCTTGGCTGGAATCAAAGTGCAGAAGTGGTGTTACATATGCTCATGTCCAGTGTCAAGCTTAACTTCTACGTAACTAATCTACAAATTTATTCTGTCTTATTTATGACATCAGTACGTAAGTGTCACTTTTTCAGATCTTTTAAATTAGATAATATCTAGTTAATAAGTTAGTAATTTCTAACAACAGTTATCTGTGATGACATATGCTTAGCATAGTCACTTGTACCTAAACAAAGTGAGTGTGTGCTAACAATGAGAAGCTCAGCTGAGAAGACCTAGAAATCTGCAGTAGATACACAGCACCCTACTGAGGAATCATTTTATTCCATTTTGTCTACAAAATGCGCAGAATCATTTTTATCCCATGATAATATCATATCTTGGGCTCTTCTTACCTACTCCAATGCAAACAGCTTTTCACAGATGTAGACATTACGTTTAAATGGAGAGTTTGAGGACTTTCAGGGGTGGGGGCCCGTTTGTCTGTTCTTCTCTGTGAATATTTGGTACTCCAACAAAACAACCCTGGAAAGCGACATTGTGAGCAGGCGGTGTAGCCCAAGCAATGACATGGCACAGCTCTGCCCAGCGCCCTCCCATTTTTCTCCAGCCCTGACCTGGAAGGTCTGGGAGGAAGGAGTCATCATTCACATTTGGGACTCTAATCCCTGCCAGAAGAGATCCCAGTGAGTCCCAGCTGTCCAGGCTCTTCTGTTGGGAAATCTGTTAATTGGGAATGGGAGGAACCCACAAACTTATTTCTCAGCAGCCAGGATGTGTCAGAAAATAATAACTTTCAGCTGTAAATCCATGGTTGTAAATCTGCAACTTGGGATGTGTGCATTATCTGAACTGGCTGTCCATGGCTTGAATTAATGGAAATGAGAACAATATGATCGTAACCTCATAAATCATGTCTGGGTATTAATTAATAAAGCCATGAATGATTTAAAGGGACACAGAACAAATGTTGGCATTATATTCTGGTTTTGTATTAAATACGGTTTTACAAATCCTTGAATAAGGAGGAAGGATTGATTCCATGTGCTCCAGAAGACAAATTAAAGGAAGATCATCTTTGATTTGCATTCCCATGTTGTCACACCACAGTGTTGTGATAATGAGCAATGTGCCTAGTCTTCTTTTCCTGCTTATGCTTTAGCTGTGGAATACATCTTTGCTATCCACCTAACAGAGCTGTTAGTCAACAAGCTCCTGTATAGAACGAGGTAAGTAACACTGAAGGAGTCTTCAAATCAAAATACAAGTATAGAAAGCGTCTAGGACAGTACAACGTAGCTTTGAAATTAGAATAGTCACATGGACAGGTACAACTAGGCGTTCTTCTGCAGCATTTGTGTTAGGAGAGAAAACAGAGACGCAGAAGGACAGAGACATACACCCTCACTGCTGCTCCCGAGTCTGTCTGTGAAGCTGGCTCTCAGTGTGTGACCTCAGAAAACACCCAGGGAGGCAGAGCCAGAGGGGGCTGGCTGAAGGACAGCCTTGGCACCGCGACCACAGGACAGCTCTGATGGAGGCACTGCACCGCCTGACGCTCCTTGGGCCCAAACAGAACTCTGATCACGCTAGGAAATAACTGGAACCACTGCAAAGGTTGCTGATGACCAATTTTCCTCCTGTCTGGACCAAGAAACTGATGCTTAAACTAACCTTGTAGGGAAAAACTGCAACTGGACAGTAAGGAAAAAAAGGGGTTGGTCAAACCCTCAAAGCCTTGGATCAGTCCCACAGAGCTTTATGCATGACGGAAGCTGGGATGAAGCCCTTCAGCTGTTCATCATATCCAGAAATAAACAGGAGGAATCTTTCCTCATGGAAAATGAGGTGAAAACTCATTCCCAGGTTTTACTGTTGCCAATACCACTATTACTATTCCTGTTAAAAAATAATAACAATAAAAAAAATAATCTAAGGGCAAAACACTAGCTGCATAGGACAATTCAAGGGATTAACAGTGGATGATACAAAGTGGGAAATAAATTCCAAAGCAAATGATCTGCAAACACATTTTAAAACTTATACTTGCAATAGGAAAAAAAAAGGAGTTAAACATAGCTGTGAATAAAACAATACCAAAACCTCCTAAATTCATACACAATAAATAAACCAACAAAACAGATAGATACATGTGGAGTTACTGCAGTCTGAGCCTACAGTGTTCAGAGAATGGAACTTTACCTGTCAGCAATATCACCAAAAATCACTGCTCCAATCAAGACTCCGAGCATGAATGTAGGCTGGATTAATTTTGCAAGCCATTCTCGGTCACAGACCAGATCCCACTGCGTAACAACAGTGCTCTTCCATTTTGTATCATCATAAAGAAATCCATCAGAACAAGAAAACACGGACTTGTTGCCTTTATATTCATATGCTAGATCCAAACTGACTTCTCGTTTGGCCTTGCTGCATTGATTAAGCTCCCAGATTTCTCCATTTTCCAGCTGGACTACAATGTAATTCTCTGTTGCTGTCCATACTGTCCAGATGTCCTCTAGACTTGCTTCAGAGGAGTTGTAGAAGAGAACACTACTCACGTTCCCAGGGATCCCACAGACGAAGTTAGGAGTAACAGCCATAAACACAGATGCTAAGTAATGGATGCCACATGACATAGCTTGAAAGACAGATGCAAAATAAACACATGCTTGAAATCTGCAAAGGGAAAGAAAAAAGGTTTACTGAAGAAAAGCCCTCTGTATGCACAAAACCATCAACACAATCATTTTGCTAGAGTCAGCCCAATCATCTTGGCCAAGCTGTAAATGGAGGCATCATCTAATGTCCAGTGGTTTGTTATAATATGGCTTCCAAATTAGCTAAGCTCTGCAAGAGACCAAAGATGAAAAAAGATGCTCAGCAGAAGCCACCTATCCTCAGGAAATATCAGGTGTCCCTTTTGTCAAAAAATAAATGCTGTTAGACACATGTACACTATTTAAAAAGAAACAATTCTGACCTTAAGAACACGATCTGAAGTAACTCCCCACCCTGCGATCCCATCTAGTCCATCCCTTGTTTTGAGGGCTTAAGATTACCAGAATGGTTAGAGGAACCAAAATGTCACAACCTCAGTTTCTGAGGGATAGAGATGTGCCCATCAAATAAAACAAAGCAAACACATTATGCCCTTCATTTCACCTCATGGTATCTATGTACCTGTACTCCACCTATCTCCTACCTCACTTTATTGCCTCTGAAAGACAAAGAGAGAATACATGCAGACACTTGTAAGAAGAAGCCAGAATGTGAACAGTGTGAAAGGCTTTGTACCAAAAGATAGCTGTAATCTGGGCTGGGTTTTCTCTTAAGCAGGGTGTGCAGTTATGCATTAAAGATTGTATCATAAAACAAACATACTAAAAAAATGTTTTCTACATAGCCTGAATTCTGGCATTTTAACAGCTTTTCAAATATCCTTGAGGTGCAAGCAAATCTTTGTGTATAAAATGCACACGCACTCTGAATGGCAAAAGACTTGCAACGAACTAGCATCACGGACTGCAAATTCTAGGATAGCTTCTGATAGCCTAAACATAAGGAAACAAAAAGATTTTTTGAACATGGTCAGAGTCTCTGCTGAAGTTACGGGAAACGATGCCTAAAAAACAGTTGCCATGAAATGTCTTGTGTGCCTGTAAAAAAGGCAACTCCTTTCTGATACATATCCTTGAATTCCTCCGATAAAGTATGCAACAGGACCAGGCCAAGGACCTTTAGTCATCTGTCACCACAGTTTCTAACAAATTTGTAAACTATCCAGAGCCAAGGTATTTACATAGAATTTGCTGGATACATTGTCTTAATGTCCAAATAACATTTTAATGGAACCCTTCTCTAGTGTAACCTAACTCCACTCACCATCCTCATCTCACACAGCTGTTTAGATGCAATGGGTTTTGTCCCACTTTCTCTTGACAACAGCTCTATTGACTATTAAGCCTACTGATACTCTTGTCACGAGAACAGCTTCTTGAGGACTAAGTACCTAGCTGTAAACTAAAGCAAGGGTGAACCTGCTCTGAAAGGCTTTTGGACTACCTTAGACCACCCAAAACCAAAGGTTATTCTGAAATGTTACCTTTGTCCCCCTACTAATGCAGACAAATATGGTTAGCAACATTTTTTAGTTCTTCAGTGTCAATTTAGTTGCAGTGTCTCTCATCAAAAAACAAACCAAAAATAGCAGAGCAAGACCAAATTCAGTAACTTGGGCTATTTTTGCCGCATTCAGAATTGGATAAAATCAGGACTAGATGACCTCTAGCAGAGTAGCAAATTAAATCCCTACAAACTGTGCAGTTACATCTTCTACTAGCTAGTAAAGAGTAGCATGCTTGGAGCCAGGATGTTTTGGCAACGTTTGTCATTATGCAACAAGACATCGTAGTGCCAGATAGCCCGGTTGGTATTTCCCAGACACAGGAAGAATGAAATAATTTCAAACTCCCATACATTCATCTCAAGCTTACTAATTAGCTCTCCCAGCACAACAAACATCAGGTTCATCATCTCTCTTCTGCCCAGTAAGAGTGAGAAAAAAAAACAAAATGATTCCCTTTCCTCTTGGAGAGGCTCAAAAGAAGATACCAACCTGTTAGGATATGAGCTGAGAAGATGGCATGAACCAATGCACTATATCATTTTTGTAAAACCCAAATCCCGAGAGCATCGCTGGGGCCATAATTTGCATCATTTCCAGCTAATCTCTGCACTAACTTCTCCCTTGAGAGTTTCATTTTTTATCTTCCCGAGCACTTGTGATGGCGCTTCTATAACCATTTTGACAGACTGCTCTGCTATCAAAGCTTTCTGTTGGAAAGTTTCTCATTAAATCTAATCTCAATGTTCCCCTTTTCAGTATAAGACTATCAGCAGCTTATAAAACATCCTTGTGCAACCTTGAATAAATCTTCCTTGTCTTCTATCATTTATTCATACAGAATTATCAGTTTTCCCCCTCTGGTTGCTATCTAAAACTGTATGAATTGCAATCCCTTACCCTTTCCTCATTTTTCCTTTGTGTGCTATAGAGCAGTGTCCAACTCTATAAAAAGCAACACAGGATTTATTTTAGAGAAATATCTGTGCCGTGCCACTTTTCACCCATCTTTCAAGGGTTTAGCTTAGCACTAGATATAGCCGGTTCTTGTAAAACTGTTCTTCAGTTTTCAATGTTACAAAAATCTTATTCGGCTCCAACAAAGAAATCCACTCTACAGTGTCATTATTTTTGTGACTCCAGCAGGCAAGGGAAGCAAGAAGAGGAGAGCACCAGGCCAGATGTGAAGCTATGCAAGTGTCTGGCAGCACTGGTGGCTGAAGGCATCCCACAGCCCTGCCTCTGCACTGAGCTGCTGCTTCCCTGCCTGTAAAAGCTCCCTGCTGCTCTCTCCAGTAAAATTCCACAATGCGCTGGCCAGGGCTCTCTCCGTAAGTCCAAACATAATGAAAACCTGAAAGCCCTCCTTTGCTGCAAAGGGAAATTCACTGCTGAATCCCGGACGATGCTGGATGAAAAGCACAAGCTTGTGAACTGTAGCTCATCTCCTGGGGGTAGGAAGAGCTTTTCTTCTAGAAAGACTGATTGTGCAAAGGTCAGGAAATTCATTAACCGGCGTAGTTAGCAAAAAGGAGTTAATTCGGCTGTCAGTGACAACATATAGAAAGCATGACAAGTATGTAAGGAGGATGATATGTGGGACGGGAGAGTACTATAGACGCATTGAGCTTTGCCTGCCAGAGCAGCTGCAGAGTGGACACAGGCCCGAGAAAGTCACAGCAGCAGCCTCATGATGGACACCGGTTTGCCAGACATGTGGACGGGGCAGCAGGTGGTGCTGAGCAAGCCGCAGGCTGGGCTGTGGCAGTAGGTGACAGCAGAGCCTGTGCACCTCGCTGCCCACGAGGCACTGGGTTAAAGTCTGCACTGTCCTCGTTACCTGCTGTCAATGATTGACTTCTTCCCCTAATGCTTGAGTTGAGAATGCTGGGTTGGTAAGAAAGCCTCTATTGCTAAGCTTAAAGCTCTCAATCGCTGGCAACCATGTAATGGTAACCTTTGAGTAACCACACCTAACTGCATTTTAAAAGTTAAATTTCCCTGACCTAAGAGAGTGTTGCTCACACCTCAAAATGTTAAGAAAATTGCTGGAGGAATAAATACTACCAACATTCACCAAGAGAAGGCAAGGCTTCTCTCAGCAAAGTCTGAGATCTGTTTTCCTGGGCTGATTTCAAAAAAAGGCAGGTTTTGGAGAGGGTATTTTACATGCCAGTTATCCTCACATACACACATCAGATTGAGTAATGCACATCGTTGCAAGCAGTAATTTTCAATAGCATTTCATATGTTATTTTTCTTTTTAAAACATATCCTTTTTGCCATTTTTAAGATCTGTGAACATGATGACTGTCCTAAAAAGTATGATAATCTCTGGCTCTTCACAGTATTTTTCCATCTCTTCAGTGACTTGCCATGGGAGATAATTATTTGGCAAGTACATTTTGTCACTCTTGCCAGGAGTGTCAAATATAGAAGTCAAGAAGACTTTGTAGGTTACTGCTCCAGTGTAGAGGCGCTTAATGAATGCCAGAAGTCAAATGAGCATAAAACTGTCTTCAGAAAAGTTTGAGCAAGACACAGCATGAAAATGTGCCAGTCCTTCCTAAAATATTTTTGTGAAATTTCTCCCCGGTTATTCTCTTTTTCAGTTTCCTGCTTTTAGAAAAAAAGAAAAAGAAAAAAAAAAGGAAAAAAAAAAAAACTTTGCATTTTCTGACTCTTCTGCACAGGTTTTATGATCTAAGAAAAGCAAAAGTTAATATTGCAATTTCAGTACCTGAAATGAAACAGCCTTGCATAAAGATAATGAACTAGATCTCAGACCACTGGCTGTATTCTCATGACACAACGTACCCTGTGGCACTGTCATCCTAAAATATTTCCTTCCCTCTCATTTCCCACTGTTTGTTTACCCCCTGAGACACAGCGATCCCCTGAGACTCCCCTCAGATGCGGTGGTGCTTTTTATGTGGCCCGGCTGTGGATTTTATCTGGAAAACTGATCTCACTTGAAAAAACCATCAGAACAGATGATGATTAAAATAACAAAACCAAAACCAAGCCAGATCAGTTGCTTGATCTAATTTGCTTTCCATCCAGGCAAGCGATCTGCAGCAGTCTATTTGCAAGGTGGTACATCTGGGAGGCAACAGTATCTGAAGCAGACATTGACACATCAATGTTAGAGAATAAAAAGGCAGATTAGAGATAAAAAGATAACAGATTAAAAGCAAATATATTAGATTCTCCTCAAAAGCTAATACATAACTTTAAAAATCCTTTCAGTGCATGATAGAGTGACAAGGCTGTGCTGCGATTAGCAAGAGACTTGTACTATTCCTCAGGTTTTACAAGAACTATTTTGACTGTTTGCCTTTTCAACCACCTTGTTAGCAAACTGCTTAGTCAGAAATCACAGCGTGTTTTTGCTTTGCAGTCTAAACTCGACAGGATGGCTTCGGCATTTACTATTTCTGAAAGAATTTGTGTTCAGGGACCACTTTCAGCTCTGTATTCCACGCCTTTTTTTTTTTTTAATGTGAAAAAAACCATTCAGCATTCTTTCCACTCTAAACCAAAAAAAAACCTG